CGATACAAGCGAACAAACACACACAAACACTCATTTAAGACCTTTACAGCAGCACAGTCTTCTAGGTCCTCTTTATAAAAAGGACACCATACACACTGTCCTCACTGACTTGAGAGTTAGACTGATCAAAGCTGCGGCTCAAGAATGCTAAAATAAATGTATTATCTAAATAAATGTTTATAATAAGGGTTTTCAAAATGACAGAAAGCAGTGATAGCTGTAGACATGCCTGTTGTAAATATGAGTGTGTAAAAGGATATTTGACCTGGAACACTTCAGTCACTGCTTAAATAATTTACAGGAAATCCTCTGTTTATTCAGGATCGTTTCTGTTTTCAGGGTATGTTGACTAAAACGACAAAATAAGGAGACACCACTAAAGTGTTGGTGTGTTGCATGTGAGCTTGCTGAAGTTCCTCCTCTCTCAGTGGAAAGTGACACAAGCACACGTGCCCCACACAAACACACACACGCACACACACACACACACTACATGCGTGCACACGGGCTGCTATTTCTATTTGTGAATATTCTTGTTATGTACAGGCTACATCAGTGTGATGTTTGCTTTGTTGCCATGGCAACAGACGTTTGGCGCTCACACATCATATCCGGTACTCAATGATTGACGCTTGGTTACTCTGTCTCACACACACACAGCATGCAACGCACACGTGACACCATAAAAAAAAAAAAAAACGATCTCATCCTTCACCTTGTCACTGTTTTCTGCCTGTTCTTTTAACAGTTTTAATTTACAGGAAGTTACGAGGACGCTTGAAAAGACATTTAATTTACTTACTCATTAGCGTGTCTTATGTGGGAAAACACATACACACAGAGAACATACGCAGTGTTGTCTTAAAAGTGTGTGACAGTGTCAGTTGAGTAGCTTAACTGAACCAGGGGATTGATGCCTTATTTCTGAGTGAATTATAAAAACATAGACTATGTGTAGAATGTAGAATTATAATGTATGTAACATAGACAGGAAGAGAGGAACAACTCACAGACTACTTATTTCTGCATTGTATGAGGGGAGCACCCTTCGTCTTCTTACACACTAAATCTGCACTTTACTATATGATCTCTAAGGACACAGAACAATATTGGTTTCCTTAAATATCAACCTAAATTGTCAATATTGCACAGTGAATTAATTCACTCCTAATGAAATTTAAGTTCCTATCTGACCACTGCATCATACTAAACATTTTGTAAATAATACGTAATAATATTTTTTACTATACTAATTGCTTTAAAGGTAGTACCCTAGTGTTTTCCCTATCCCTGAATGGGTGTAATGGCTCATTATTGATGGATTGTTAATTCAGGCAGGATAACTTTTAATAATCTGGGTTTCAGTGGAGATTTTTTAGTTGAGTGTTTTCATCCTCACATCACATAATTCTGACCTAAAACGTATTTACTTTATGGCATAAATATGATCAAATTCATAGTGAGACTGATATTTAATGTGATGTGTTACTGTACCAATTCCTTTTTGTTTTTGTTAAACAATTCCCAATGACTCCAGAGAATAAAACTATTTTTAAAAGTAGATTTTTATGATATATTCTGACACAAACTATTTATAAAATAATTTCAAATGCTAACTTAACCATGAAAAACTATTTACTGTTTGCACATAATTTACAAACTGATAAGAAGACACTAACACCTACACAAACTTGCAAATTACAGACATAACCACACTTGTGATTGCACACATATGCGCACTGCTTTTTCCAACTGTCCCTCGTATTTCACACTCTCCTACAACCATAAGCTCACGCACCGTTTCTGAGACTACTGAAAACACCCACATGTGCACCTCACTCACAGATCTTAAAAATTAATGCACACGCACACTGGCAGGCGTGCATGCACTCACACAAAGAAATGCTATTCATTCATTCAGCATCCTTTAAGCTGAAAAAAAAAAAAGAGGATGTGAGGAGGGACCGTACACTCAAATAGACAGCGTTCCCCTTCCTGTCCACTTCTCTGTCACACTTGTGAAAGTCCATACAGCGATGAGTACATACACTGCAGGCAAAAGGCCATGGTGATACTATATGTGCGTATATAACAGAACTCAGATGCAGGCTCTTATTTTCAGCTGATGATGAATAATGCTCTCTCATAGACTCTCTCACACACACACACACACACACACACACACACACACGCACTTTATAGTAGAGCATATTTCTACACAGGAGCTTGAGAAACAAATTCTTCACACACCCACACATACACTGAAACTTACAACATATATCCTACATACATACACACACACACACATTTAGAAGCAACCCACCTCGGTATAACTGGCCAAGAATGCTGCCCGCACCTTGTTTCACTATATCGTCACATGAGTCACTAATAAACAAACAAACACATAATCATACACACGGCAAGAGTCAGCAGAAATAGTTTGTAGTGAGTAAGATGATTATAGTCGCTAGGGTCAGGAAGTCTCTCACACACACACACACACACACACGCATACTTATTATAGGCATGTTGGTCAGACTTTTTCAGAAATAAAAAACTGCAAGATTTGTATAAAACTTGCTGTTAAAACCTCCTCTTTTGCTCCTTCTTCTTCTTCATTCATCTTTGCCGTCGTCCTCTCTGAGACGTTCCTCATCCTCTTTCTGCTCTAATCCCCCTTTTTCTCACTCTCTCTCAAACAAAAAATCAAAAACAAGTTGATGGAAACAGTCCATAACTGGCCTACATAAATCTAGCCCACACTTTCCATACCCATTTTTGCTTCCGTCTTTAAATGTTAATTTCTTGTGTAGCACTGATTTTAAGCAGGGAACAACTATACTTCTTCACTCCTCCATCATTTTCTTTTTCTTCAAATTCCTTATTTTTTCTTATTGATCTTCTCCCATTCCTTTCTAATATAAATCCATGCTGTTGCATTGTGCCTCATTTATCTTGTCTATATAGTGTAGGTACGATTGCTACCACTCAGCCATGAAGTTTCTGTCTATAATGACTTGGAATATAAGAGGGACTCTTGAATATCAACAAAGATAATCCTGCATAACGCACAGTCTAATCCCTATGGAAAAAACAAAAACACCAAAGCATGCATGCCCATGCATACATTTTCTCTTTTGCACTTTCTCTCTTTCACAACCACACACTCTGAGACACACACATGAATACACAGAAATGATTTTGCATCCAGCTAGTGTGCCCATTTGCATTTAAATTCCAAACTTACAACAATTTAATTATTACTTTGGTAATTTTGTTTTCCTAATGACAGTGTTTGGCTCTTAAATATGATACGTAATGTAAACTAGTTCTTTTCCAAAAATCATCTGATAAACCAAGCTCCCTTACTCTGATTTACGGACGGATGGCACAGATTATTCTTCCCTCACTGAGTGCTGCTGACTAGTGAATTCAGTGAATATAGCGGATATAGTATTTCGTTTTCATCATCAGCAGTGATTACAACAAGCCTAGTCCTGACCTGGTGAATCACAGGTGCCTGCTCGAGGGCTTACATGGGTCACATGACCAGCCATTTAGTTTAGTGTTACCAGCAGACATGAGGATGGTGGACAGATGACTAGAGGAAGCCATATGGGACAACAGCATGTTGGCTAACAGGATCTTCTTTCACTGGGCATCAACACACACACACAGGTCGTGGCATGTTAATTTGAATCTAACCCTCTATTACACTGTGGGCTTTCTGAGACAAGTTATTAGGGAACATAAAATAAAAAAAACACTATACAGCAGTTTAAAACTTTTTTTGTTCAAAACAGCTTCAATTGTTGAGTGAATTGTTGTTTAGCTGAATTAGATTTATTTGATGAATGAAATACAATGTTGGCTGCTATTTAATAATCACAAAAAAATACATAGGGAAGCAAATCACTAAGCAAGATCTTTTCTATTTAAATATTTAATTTAACAGGAAAATTTCATTTTTAAATTAAGGCTTCAATAAATCTCCCTCTCCGATGTGTGTGTGTGTACAAAATAAAAAGAGGAGTTCATAAAGCAACATTTACACACAATTTGCCTAGTCTTCTCATTATTTTACTGTGTATGCCACTTGTAGTAGCTTCAAGTGAATTCACATTTACAGAACATCTTTTTTTTCTGTATCTCCTCTGGTACTTTACACGACGCAGCTGCATTATCACTGTATTTTTCTGTGGAGTCTTAGTTTCTGGGTAGAAGAATCATTGCCCTCATACCGCAAAATGCTTGTTAATCTGCTAGCTCAAGTCTAGCAAACAGAGCTTCCTTAGTCCGATCTGAGTTGACAGTGTGTGTGTGTGTGTCAGTAGTTGACACTACAGAGCCACACAGCAAACAAAAAAGACATAATTTAAAATGGTTTTAAAGGAAATCTGATTTAATTTCTTGACATGCAATAAAATTGCAAAATAAAACAAAAAACAGAGGGCTCCTAACCCCACACTACTGAGCTTTTCAAAAATTGGAATTCATAAAAAATCTGATAGGGGGAGAATGTTTTCTTAATTTTTCATATGTACAGAGCTGTAATTTGGTATGTCATAGGGGAATAAAGTTAAACTTCAGTCACATTTCAAATGTTTCAAAAAACTTTTAAAAAAATACCATTAATGGAAAGTCTACTTTCGGAGATTTTTGTGTGTTTGGGTACCGTGTAAAATACATTTTTCAAAGTAGTAATCCTAATTAATTTTCTATTCTAATCTATAATACTTTCTCATCGACAAGATACATTTACTTTTTAAATTTGTATTGGAACAGAGACTAAACATGGTTATCATGTGACTAGAGTATTTCCAAAGGTGCACAGAATACACCATTTAATATGCTTATCCCACACATCTCTTGTTTTCTAACTGCAGCTCAGTTCACAAATTGTAATTAAGTTCTCCATAGTCTCCAAGGTTTCTTCTCATTCCTTTAAAGTCACTGACCTCACATTCAAAATACACCAACACGTATGGAGCAATTCTCACCTGTGCCAGGACGTCCCATGATGATATCTTTACGTGGGACGGGATGAAGGCTTTCAGCTGGGAGGATCAAGGGCAGCAGAGCGGTGGGAGAAGGGTGACAGGGAACTGGCTGCTGAAGCTCACCCCCAAACCCTGTCCCCCTGTTCTCCTCTCGTTCCCCAGAGCTGTCTGTGCTACTTGGAGCTGGAGCTGTGACTGTTGTGCTGACGGTAACTGACAGGGCTTGCAGGGGAGTGGCAGGGGTAACAGTGGTGGACAGGGAAGAAGGTGTTGGGGACACAAGCACTAGAGTTTGGGCTGGGCTCCGCAAGAGGACGGTGCCATTGGGGACTGTGGCTGCAGCAGCATTAATGGGGACGGGAACCTGGAGGCCAGAAACTGGCTGAGGGGTAAGAGGTGTTAGGCCAGTGTCTTTAGATGTGGTGTTATCTGTCCCTCCCTCATTTCCACCACCTCCTCCTCCTCCTCTTCCCAAGGGACACTCTGTAAATTTTGCCAGTGGGACTTCGGGATTCCTCACAATGACAGGGGAGTCCCGCAAGGTCTGATGGGATACAGGGACCACACGACGAGGCCCTCCGTCTGGAGTGAGAGGAGAAGGAGGAGTTGGAGACACCAGAAGAGGAGGAGGGGAGACGGCAGTGGAGGACGGTGGCCTACTGGAGGAAGGGGTGGTCACTCCTCTGGGTCGGGAGAAGGTAGGTGTGTGTGTGCGGGAATGTGAAGCTGGGTTGTGGGGTGACAGCACCCTGAAAGAGTTGTTGAGGTCCCCCTGCTCCAGCTCTGTCTTGGGAGTGTAATCATGGTGGTGTGAGGGGAGTGGCGGTGGGGGAGGCGCATCAGGCTTTCGTTTGCTCGGGCTCATGGGGACTGTAAAGGTCAGGTTGCTGTGGAATGAGGGCTGGATGCCTGAAGTGTGTCTCTCCCTTTCTCCTCCTCCAGCTGAGGTTGTTACCTTGCTGCCCACTGTCCCTCCTCCCCCCGTCCCGCTGGGTTGCCTGTGCCTCCGGTGTTGCAGGACAGGGGAGGCAGTAATCGGGGAGAAGTTGGCTGGCCTGAAGCCAAAAAGTGGGGAAGGAGAGGGAGAGGGGGCAGGGGAGAAGGGCGACTGGTTGGAGATGGGAGAAAAGGAAGGGGTGCCAGAGCGGGAGCTCCCCAATGATACAAGCATAGTGGCGGCCTCACACTCATCAAAGTCAAAGCGTGACGACAGGTCATGGGGGAGGAGGGAGGGGAGGACCAAGCGGGGTCTGGAGTCTCCTCTGCTACTCGTTTCGCTGCTCTCTCTTGATGTGTCATCCCACTCAAACTCACTACTTGCTCTGCCCCGCAGGTCAGAGGGGGTGACTGTCCCTGAGCTGCTGCCTCCTCCTCCCCTCTCTCCCCCTGCTGCCTCCATCTCTTTGGTCCTCAGGGACAAGTGTCTAGAGCAGTATCCTCGACGCTGAGACTCCTTCATACAGCCCTCCCTGGAGCACAGCCTCCTCCACTGCTTACCATTGAACTTCTTACGGATACCATTAGGGGTGCACACCACATCGCCCTTCTTGTATTTCTGCTGAGCTAATGAAAGGGGAGTCCTGGAGCGAGAGGAGGTAGAGGAGGACCCCCCACCAGAAGTAGGAGTAGGGGTCTGAGTGGGAACGGTCTTTGACGGAGGTAGGTTTGGAGTGGCGTTGTTTATTTCAGACCCCAATGAGGCAGGGGAAGGGGGTGGTAGAGGACTAGCTAGGGTGGAGAGGTGCGGGGGTCCCAGACCCCGCACCACAGAGAGGTGGGGGGAGGAGGGAGGGTAGCCACTGGACTTGGAGATGATGTTTCTGTGCTGAGAGGTTCCAGCATTTGGTTTAGGACCAGCAGTGATGCTCATGTTAAAACGAGATACCTCAACGTCCTCTTCTGGAGTGTTTGGCTGTTTCTGTCTCTCTCCGTCAGAGTAGTTCTCTCCACAGCCACGAACTGTGCTGTCAGCTACACTAGAATGGGGTGGTGGATGTACGTTTCCATAGGGAATCCCTACTTTGACTCCTTCACTCGAAAAACCATGGCTCAACCTTGCTCCCCCTCCGAGCACCCCCATTCCAATACTCAACTGGCACACTTCCCTTTCTACCTCCATCTCCTCCCTCCGCTCTCTCTCCTCCCTTTCCCTCTCCCGCTCTCTCTCCTTGGCCCTCCCACCATCCAAATGTGAGACCTCCCAAGGAGGGGTGAGAAGTCTCAGACTTTGTCGGGACACCCACACTGCATGAGCATTAGCTTTCCTTTTCTCTTTCTCTTCCCCCACCCCTCCATCGTCCAGAGTCTTCCTGTCTTCACTCAGCAGAACCTGGTAAGGAAAAGAGACACCGGGGTGGGGGTCCACTTGAGTGACAATCCCCTCTCTGTACAGCAGAGGCCCTCCCTCTTCTCCACCATAGGGCACACACACTCGGGTCCCAACAGCCACAGGTGCCATGCCAGGTGGGGGGGCATCCAAAATGAACTCCACAGTGCTCTCAGTCCCTAATGACGATGTCATCACGGTTCCACCATGGAAAGGGTATTTAACAAGGGTCTCCTCTCCATGGAGCTGGACGTCAACAGTACCTCCACTCACCCTACGCACCACCCCTGGTCTGAACACAGGTGAGAAAGGGCATGAGTTTGTCTCCTTAACCCTTCTGACCCCTGTAGCCCCAACCCCACTCTCTATGGTCCTCTTTATCTGACGAGCAAGAACTCTCTGGTTTTTCATGCCTTTGGCCAGGGCTTCAGCCAGCCCCTCTGACAGACTGGCCTCTTTAGGATGCAAGTTATGGAGGGAAGCTGTGATGTGGGAGTTCTTTTGATGAAGGCTCGGCCCTGTTGCCTCCATCACATCCAGGTCAGCTGAGTGCTCACTAGCTGTATCAGTGGACGAGGAGCGCACTGAGTTAGGGGCCAACTCTGATTCATTTTCCCCAGATTGGGAATCTTTTTCCTGGGAATCTGCTGTCCTGAGGGCCCTATCCTCTGTAGAAACAAAATTGTTTGCTTCTGTAGCTTTACTATCCACAGTAAGCACTGATGGCTGATTACCTGAGCAATTATTACTTCTACTATTACTGCTATTGATAAAAGAACTATGGCTCCCAGCACTACTGTTACTACTGTTAGTTGGGTTGTTAATACCACTTGTGATGTTATTGTTACCACTATTGATGCTTAGATTAATGCTTTTATTAATGCTATTACTAATATTGTTACTACTCTTGAAATTATTATTGGGCATATTTACACTTTCACTGATTTTACTTTTAATATTGCAGTAACTGTTTTGTATGAGTGCAGAGTTGGAGGTAGGCATGGTAATCAGGGCACTTGCATTGTTAGCAAAGTGCTCATAAGTGTACTTTTTCTTGGGTACACGGGCCTTAAATGTGGCTGTTTTCCTACTAGAGACTGAGCCTAAGCTGGGGCTGTGATTGGTGGCCAGAGGGGGTGTGGCTGTGGAGAGCGGTCCTGGGGCAGAGGTAGGAATTGCTACAGTATCAGTGGCACTAACTACTACATTCGTCCCCACTATCATTATCTTCTCCTTTTCTGTCTTTTCTTCTTCCTTCTTTCCATCTTTCTCAACTGACTCCACAGGTTTCCTCAGCTCGGCAGACTGTTCACTCGTGGGGGTATTGCTGTTTGTGATGGATTCTTCATTAGAGTTGGTAGCTGTGGATGGGGTCTGTTTACGTGTGGAAGGAATGCTGGGTGTGTGCTGTGTGGTTTTGATGAGTGTCTCCTTCTTGACTCTTTTGGGGTCTTTCTGTTGGAGGGGCTGGGAGCCCCCTCTCCTTCTCCCCCCTCTGCCTCTAGTTAACGGGGGAGAACGGCCTTTGTGTTTCTTTAATGGTCTCATCTTTTCTTCACTGTTCACAAAGTGCTGCAGATTTTGTGGCGCTCCTCTTTTTTCACTTCTAAGGCACTCCGTTTTTTGTCTTTCTCTGCTTTTTCTTCTCTGCTGTCCTTCTGTCCTCTATTCTGCAGGCTGGAAAGGAAGAGGGAAAAGCAAAACGACAGGTGGTCATTTATTATCTTCATAATCAAAAATAGCTGAGAATAAAAATGACGTCATACCTGGAAGTGTGCTACACTGCACTGGCTATCACATTGGCTAAATGTCTGTCTCATTGACCCTCCTTGTCTGCCTGATCCACTAGTGTGTGTGTGCAAGCATGTCTGTGTGTGCTTGTCTATAGGTGCAAGTTTGTATACTCGAAACATAAAATCTTCCTTCCAACATTAGTTATCCAGCATGACTACTTCATGAAAATAAAGGTCATGATTGCTTTTGTTATAAAAAGCTGTATTCTTCTCAAGCCCTAATCATAGTTATATACATTTATATTTTGATAGTTATGAGGAATTACTTATGGGAATTACTGAGATTGAGATCTGGTTAACCTTGTGTGAGTATGATATCATGGTAATGTATAGTTGGTTAGTTTACTCAAAAATAAAGTGTCAGCAAAAAAAGAAAAAGAGCCAAAAGGACAATTAAAACAAAGAAACGTAAACATCCAAGGTCACTTGCTTCAGTTTGTCTCTTACAATACTCCAGTATCCAAACGTCTTTTAATGAGGCCTACATCTCTTTAGTTTCAAATGCACACAGAGACAAAAATGCTTTCACTTCATCTCTCTATCTAACACTCACTCACACACACACACACACACACTTAAGTCTCGTACTACAGGACGTCTGATCTCTTCATTTTACTCCCTCCAGCTACTTCGACATGCGACAGGGTAGCTTTCTCACGCTATGCATTATAGACTCGATGCTGCATGTTCAGCATCTGATCAAAACAGCGGCACAGAATTTACTTTGACTTCCATTAGGAGGAAAAGGGCTGGCTGTGGCCTGGGTGAGGTCACCCTACAACATGAGTGAGAGAAAGAGAAAGTGAGAGAGAGAGCGCGAGAGAAAGAGAGGTAGGCGTATGCGGCTGTTTGGCTGTTTGTTCAAATAGTTCTTGTTCTTGTGTAGTCATTGGGAATTTCCACAGTCATTCTAGCACTCGCTGGACCTCTCTCACTCTTTCTTGATGTCCCAGTCTTTCCCAGTCGTCTTTTGTCATTGTCTCACTGATACTCACACACACACACACACACACACACACACACACACACACACACACACACATTTCTACAAAAAGACAATATAATTGGAATAATCTGCCATGGTAAAATACGCCCAAAATGAGAGAAATTAAAAGGCTGGAAAAGGATCAGGCACAATCACTGATGCAAGATTACAGGCTAAATGCAGTTACACACACACACACACACACACACACACACATACTTACACACTCGTACACAGACGTGTGCATATGTGCTCCCCTCGTCTAAGCTCGGCAAATCACCAACATATGAAAATGCCTGCTTTCTTACAAATACAGACAAAAACACACGGGCACATTTATATGGTACACATACTCACACTTCCTGTCCTAGTCACTGGAAAAGTTCGTCACACACACATAAGGTGACCTTGTCGTTAACCGTTTGTTTGCTGTAACAAGCAATACACAATATAAACCAGTAACACACCAGTTCCACTTCCTGCAGTATGGAAAATAATTTCTTCCTGGTCCTGAAATGACTAATAAACAACCCAAGTCATTCACACTCACACTCATCATTGACTCCATTTTGACCTCACACAATACAATATACAGTATTAACTGGCAAAAGGGTTTCATTTTCATTACTGAATCATAATTGTATCAGTTTTTTTGTCAAGGATTGTAAATACACAGTAGTGAAATATACACATATTACTACAAAACTGTTCCTAAGTATGTGTAACCGAAGAAGATAAGCACCATTTACTTCATGTTAAAAAAGCAGATACAAACGTTTTAAGACATCTCTGATCTTTTTTAAAGTAGTTTGAGTTTAATAATAATTATTGCATCTTATTAATACAAAATATTGGATGTACTTTTGATATTAGTGCAGAAAAGAAAACAAATATTCCTCATTACCAATAAGCAGACCATACGGTATATTACGTACCATTAACAAAAACAAAATAAAGAGAAGAACATAAAGTGAAACTTCATATACAGTCTATTACTCACATTCTAATTAAAATTCAATGTATAGGCCTAAGCAGTCCAGAAGAAAGAAAACTCTGACTGCAGGAATCTACCTCCTACCAGTACCCCTTCACTAGAGTAGACACTAAGGTCTGGACTGGGAGTGCTGGTCTTGCAGAGTAGTGCACTGGAAAAGAAAGGAGTCAGGGCCACTAGGCTGACCGACTGATTAATTGAATGACTCAGGAGGATCTGATCTTAGCTTAGAAAAATGCATTTAGTCATGCCCATGGCCTCCTAAAATGCTTCACCATTTTGCTGATAAGCCAGTGACAGGCACATGTGTGTATTCACATCCTGTAACTTTGAAGACACTGGACAGAGTTTGTGCAAGTAGATAACAGAGGAGATTCAGAATTAGACAATGACCTATCTTTATTTTTGGTGCTGAAAATTTGGAGTTTGCAACCATTCAAAAACTATTTATTTATCACAGAAACCCTCAGATGTTTTTGTTATCAAGAATTAAATTGTGGAAAAAAAATTTCAGCCATCTGAACCCCTTTGTGAGTCCACTGTGGAAAACCACGTGTAGACAAGCAATCATCTTATGAACAGAATTTAATTTGAAATTCCAGACAAAATACCAATGTTGCCAAAGACACCAAGTATGTTATACTAAATCACAGGGTTTGTGAAGTTTTGCATGAAGCAGCTATAATTTCAGTGCTGCCATATAGTAAATGGCATAGGATTTTAACATATCATAGTCCCAATTTCCCGCACAATGTGTGCTCAACAAACATACCCTAAATTGCAGACCTTTAACTCTGATGCCAAGAGCAAATCTAAATCAAGCTCTCTTCTTCCTGGGTGCTATTTTAGTGCTTTTACAGTGTTAATCAAGAATTAGGACCAAAAATATAAAAGAAATTGTTAAACAAATCCTGATTGTCCTCTGGGCTGAATCCAGACGTAACAGAGAGGAACTCTGTCATAATTTAGGTAATTCAAGACGTCTAGACCTTCCAGCATTTGAGCAGGTTAAGACTGAGATATTTGCTGGTCTGTTCTAAAGCGACTGTAAATCCTGAACAGACAGATATTATTGACGGCTATCGTCTCCATGGCGTTGGACTGGACTCCTCCTTAAACAGCTAAAAGCTGTTGTTTCACCCAATGAACATGGAGCACACAAGGTAAACCCCCTCCACATAGCAACATCAAACTTTACACACACACACACACACACACACACACACACACACACACACACACACACACTAAACGCTCTCCCTGGAATTTACAGTGCAGTCATGCATAGACTGTTAAAATCTCCCTTGGACCTATATATTGTCTCATGCATTCATTGTGGCATATAAACATACACACACATATATGAAGGAGCTCACACTCTGTCCGGTATAAGTTCAGCTTTTCTGTAAAAACAAACATAAATAAAAATGACTTTTATGATTCTTAATAAAAATGACTTAATAATTCTTAGATTAAATATAAACATTTTCATACAAACAGCACCTTAATGGTGACTTCTTAGCAGGTTGGATAGGGGTGCATGTATGCGTCAAACACACACACACACACACACACTCACAGATCCGTCATTCATAAGGAAATCTAATCTCAATGTCAACACCACGAGAAGAAAAAGTTATAGCCTACAGTATTTATTACAGGACTATACAACCCTAATAAACCTCCACCTTGATGCCAGTTTATTCAGTCATTCGTTGAGAATTTAGCCTATGCCCCACCGCACCATGGCAAAGGATGTGCGCGCGTGTGTGTGTATGGTTGATGTGGGGGCATTTGAGCTGGTTAGTATACAAGGTGTATGACTTCTATATATGTCTTCAGGTTGTGTCTACCTTGTTCAAAGCTGCATTTACACTATATGTCAGTTTGAGTGTATACGTATATACCAGGCACACTGCAGCTCATCCCTCTCCTAAAAGCATTTTATGGGTGTCTGTATGGCCGCAGGGCTGCAGTGACGAGGACAGAGATGGAGAGAGAAGAACGTGCAAAGGTACAAAAGAGAAAGACAGCATCCAGCTGTGATGGTGAAGCCTACCGTGGCCCTTGTACACTCCAGCATGGCAGGGCAGCTTTGCCCTTAACTGGGTCACCGGGGAACACACTCACACATGAAACAGCAAAAAAAAGAACATGCTCTCTGTTACACACACACACACACACACACACACACACTTTGGTTCATGCGCTCATTAGTGAGTATGTGATCATTCATGCAACATGACACAAGTAAAAGAAAACATTTCGTTTGGTATTTTAGGTGTAACAAGAGAGCGAGCTGTGATATGCCAGCATGCAAGTGTGTGACTGCGCTTGTTATGGAGAACATCCATTGTGACGTAGTATGAATACTGGCAGCTGTTTAGTGGGTGGCATAACTGACTGTAGATATCATATCAATAAAATAGACACATGGAGGCCTGGAATTTGTGCATTCTGAACCCATATTGATCAGGAGGCTGTAGCATAGATCAGAGGTGACTGCTGCTGTTTGGGACCAAATGGCAGAACTGCCAATGCCACATCAATGGGCAACTGCTCTACAAGCTATGCAAACATGACCTACACCATCAGGGATTTGCCTTCTGCATAAACAGGTGTAATAGCCTAATAAGGACATGCCACAGTGTATATCTGCAGAACAGGTGAGGACACTTTGAAGTCCAAATGTCAAAAACAAGTATTACATTCCTATAACTGAAAATATACCCAAAGAGAAATATGACCAAACTGTTTAACACTGCCCAGTCAGGGATGTCAACGCTGCATCGACACTGATGGCAGTGCAGAAAAAGTGGAGTGTCGGCGAGAGAAAAAACGAAAAAACACCGAATGCATCCTTAGCTTCTTTGCGCTGATCTCTGCGAGTACTACGAGAGGCGCCGCACAATGTCAAAGGAGTATTATGACTCGAGGCAGTCAGCCGGTCTGCTCTGCTGTACGGTGCTCGGTAACAAACACACACAACCGGTTTAAAGTGACGTTTTATTATCCCAACTAGACAGGTCTAAATTTTTCCCCGCACAATGATGTGTGACATGCAAATATCCACTACAACGCCTCGTGTTTATATACGCAACCACTCCAGAGAAGCTTCCTTAACGGAGCCAGTAAGGTGACACTGTGCCTATGTGATTTTTAAAAACTTGGAAAAAGCAGGAATCTTCCCGATGGTGTTTCGCTCTAGTAAGCAGCTCAGTAACGTTAGTAGTGGTGGTTGTAGTAGTCGTAGTACGCGACGGTAGCAGACTACTAGTACCCACATAATGACACAGTCAGCCAGACCACAAGGAAACGGGATGTTATTCGCTCTCTTGTTGTTTTCCAATTACTCCCGAGTCCATTTTATAAACACCAGTCGAGCTTGCGTTGATATTAGTAAACATTTTAGGGCTGCAGTGCTGCAAATAGGTCGATTGTTTTTACTACGCTAGCGCTGCTCTACGCAAAACTCGACAACTAAGGTCAAGGAAAAGTGCTCAACATTAACCGCAATACTGTGATATCACCCGAGGAAAGCTAAAATGTCTCTAAGTCGTTCGTGGGACTGCGGTAAAACATTTGAGAAAGTTTTTAGGCTGTTACACCCCCACCCCTCCCCTTTCTCTCGGCTCTTCCTCGCCTCGCGAGCGGTGTCACTCCATTTCTTCGGACGGTAACGGAACAAACGATCGACCGTTAGCAGTTGGTTCTCGTCTCGTGCTAACTCGCTGCTCCTGAAAATGGAAAATTCATGTCAGTCGAGATTCACTACCTTTTTCTAACTTAGTTTCAACTCACCCCAACAGAGCTTTTCCCCACGCCAGAGAAAGATTTATTTGCTGATGAGGAGGCTCGCATTGGTCTCGGTAACATCCCCTGGCTGTCGGCTTTGACGACTGTGCGGTCCGGGCTCACACTTTACTTTTCCTCCGCAAAACATGTCTTTCCCCCACAGAAACTCAAAGAGGGATATAAAAAACTATCGGTCTTCTTTTCCACTACAGTCACAAAATGGTGAATGAACCACTAACAGCTGGGTGAGTCGACCAATCAGAGGTCGCTGACAGGTACAGTAGCCAATCAGCGCCGGTGCCACAGATAAGAGGGCGTGGCGGGCTGTCAAAGTCCTGTTGACAGACGGGGGGATCCAGCCAATGGCGGCGGGATGCTGAGCCAGACCGGTGTAATGTCCCAAACTTTACAGTATCCAATAAGAGCTTTGGGAACCATAGGAACAGCATGAGGGAGGGCCGAGAGGAGGGAGCAAATAACTGAGAGCCAATAGAAAGGCACAAATGCCCCCTCCCCTTCTGAAAAGGAGTATGTTTACCATAATTGACAGCACAAGTGCCATCCCTGAGCAGACGGTGAGAATGCATCAATCTGACTGCTTGTCCAGAGAGAAGGTGGTGCAGCAGGAATAAAGCACCACAATGCAGTTATTTCTACCCATGTGGTCCATCATCCAAACTGTTGCAAAGTGCATTTTAATGGTTCTTTTGTATAATTATTTAGGCAGACAGAGTGAAAGCTTGGACACAGGAGGAAAAATGGGCATGAGAGCATGTTTAAAAAGTTTGCTTCGATGCTGGACAACTCATATGGTGCAGCCGACGCATCGATGCCCCTCGCAAACCGCTCTCCCTCTCCCTTTTCTCTCAGCAACAGACGCTCGCTTTCTCCGCTGTCAGCCAATCACAGGGCAGCATCCCGCTGGCTCTGACGTCGGTAATCTCTCCACCCCGCCCACTCCACTGAAAGTGAATGGGACCGGGCTAGGCTGACGTCACTTCACCAGCAGGCGATTGGGCAGGTGTGCGACGTCTCGCGGCCAATGGGTGCGCGCGGCGGTGATGTCATCAATAGTGTTGCCACCAGCTGAACCTAGGGGGCGTGGTCTGGCGTAAACTCGGCTAACCCCGTGTTTGTAACTTGCAGGCAGTGGTGGAGACAGGAGACAACCGGTGTGCTAAGTACTGACTGAAAGATGTGCATGTTTGAGATGATGGCACGTGTGTGAAACGGGAATCCTCCACGTGTGATCAGTTTGGTTTATAACATATGTATTGTGACCTTTAACCCTTGCATAGACAAAGGGATAGAACACTACCTAGCACGAAAGGTAGTGATATAATAGTGCTATAATAGTAAACATTACATAATCCCGTGCTCTGTGTGTAGTAGAAGACCAGACTCATGCTGAGACCGCCATGCGGAAGCTTACAGGAGCAGCGCCTCCTGACGGTGTGTTCTGATGCATACATGCTGATCCCTCATCACACTCAATGACGGGAAAGAAACGATGTGTAGACCTAAAAACAGAAGAAAGTTCTGACTAAGAGAAGCAGTATATTTTGTAAGAGTATGTCTACCACTTATGTGTGCTTGTTTGTGTTTTTATACGTGAGTGCGTGTGTGAGTGTTGAGAGAGAGAGAGAAAGAGAGAGAAGGCTGAAAGGTGATTAAATAGATGGAGAGTGACATCTAGTTGTAATTGTTCAACACTGCAACTTTGTGCACAACAATTTGTGCACATAGACGTCTCAAGAGGTACTGTGTTTTACTCAGGATTCCACTGAAACATCAAAACAACCAAAAAAAAACCACAACTCTGGTATTTCTACTTTTTTGGACTTTTTCTTGAACTTGGCTTTTATTGTGAGACACCGGATAGTTTCCCCCTTTTCAGGCCTTAAGAAATTCACATTAAACAGTTAACTTAAATCAATTAAAACCAAAAAGGTTTGGGGTCCACTACTCTGTAATACACTTTTTCAATCAGAAGATATTTCATTCTTCTACAATAACTTTTTTTTAGTTTACTACATAGGTCCTTATCAATCTCTCATCATGTATGTATGTCCTCTGTCAATCCCACAAGATTTTTCATTCCCAATGAGGAGACAGATATCTGCAGCTCAAAATCAGGAAGATGGAAGCTCTCATACTGGGTTTACAAAGTAAAAATCATCATTATTATTATTTCTGAAGTCAGTACTGATACTGATGTTTTAGAGGTTAAACATCTAATAAAGATATACTGGCTGAAATTCCTTTTTTTTAAGATAAGAACACAACATTTCGGATAAGGATGGTTGAAATTTGGTTATTAAAGAATTGTGACCAGGATATGTACTAAGCAGGGCATTTTACAGACAAAAAAAACTTGTGTGCTCACTGGTGGACAAACTATGTAATAGAAAACCTGTTTCTAAACTGCCTAAACAAATCTTTCTAACTGCAGTCTCTTGATACTTGTTTGTAGACATACCTTATCCTGATACCAGCAGCCAGTATACAGTATATCGACCTGGCCAATTTATCAGTCGGGGTCTGGAAAAAAACATGTAAAGATATGTAGATGCAGTCCTACGAGCTCTAAGTACAGGTTCAAATCAAGCTGCTGCACAAGAGAGGGTGGTAGATTGTCTTTTTTGATTGCAATTTTCTCTGTTATATGAATCAGTGGAAGGAAGGAAGGCAGGATTATAAAATTGACCATAAGGATACATACTATCTGTATTGTTTGTACGACTTGTAAAATTTCAGGATAAAAAATCTTAACAACTACTGGATGGACTGCCAAGAAGTTTAGTTTAGTTTAGTTTAGTTTTAGTTTAGTTAGTTTATTTGTTTAGCACGTTTGGTACAAGTCCAGAACAATGCAAGGAGGGAACGAAGCCAGACTAGGCTTGTACAGAGTTCCACTCCTTTTCCCGCACGGGGCCGCGTAACTAGTTTGGTTCAGAGATTCATTTCTGCGTGTCTGCCTCAGTATGAACCAGCACATCCTCATGTAGAAAGAATAGTTCCATAGTTGATGTCAGCAAAACAACCTATATAAGTGAACTGTAGTAAGTTTGGTGATCCCTTAGCATTAATCAAGAGGCATCATTAGAAATTTCAAATGTTGTTGATGAAATGTGCTTAGTTGTCATGGAGAAACCTCAACTATCCTCCCTCAAATACCCTCTAGCCATGAAGTATTTAGGTTGGTCGGAGAAAAAGCTAGTAAGTTGACCTTGAGTTTGTTTTAAAATTTTTTTTAGTTATTTTTGGCCAAACTACTGTGCCAAAGGTCAAGAATGAAAGTTCACACTCAACCTTTATTATGTCTCTTATCACTAATTTTATACAGGTGTTACAATTGTTGCTTTTGTTTATATAACCTTCTATGACTACAATATATAATAATCTACAATCTTTCTTCTTTCTGTATCCAATAACTATTTGCTATAGGGGCTCTATTGTCCCACTATGAGGATCAATAAAGTCTCATCATATAACTTTTAAAGTCGATTCTTTTTCCTTGCATACAATCCAAGCGACCGCCCCACCTCGTTAGTAAGTTGCCCCCTTTCTGTTTCCCCAGCTCTGCTCTACTCCCATCTATGGGAGCCTGACCTCTGACCCTCACCTTTCACCTTTTCTCTGTGTGCTCATCACTGGTCTGTCAGTCAAACACCAGACCCCCCCCCCCCTCCTGCTGGGCTCTGCTGTCAGGCACAGACAACAGCAAAGGAAAACACAGAGAGGGGAGAACTGAAGAAACGTTGTGAGTCTGGAAGAAAAGAGAGTGGAAGAGCATGATATGACAGAGGGGCAAACTAATGACTAATAATATAAACTTAAATTAAATTAAAACTAAAAGTAAAAAGTAAATCTTATCTTTTCAACTGTCCACACAAAGGCAGAACCACATCAGGAATGTCTCTAACCTCAGACCCTCACCATGACCTCTCACCCAGCACAGTTTGACCACGCATGTCCTATCAAACTCTGGACAAGTGATGGAGAAAAGTGAAAAACTGCAAGGTTCTCAAAGCAACAGCTTTGCAGTCATGGAGATGCTGCGCTCCAATAAAACATTCAAAACCAACAATAAAAATCATATTCCCAGGGTTCAGTGTGGATTTCAAGTGTACTGCCTTAAAGTCATGCACCCTGTTTCATCTGAAAGCCAGTCTTTAGCAGTCCCGGCAGCTATGAATTCTTGATATCTAAAGGAATGGAGTATTCAGAGATGGTCTTGGATTTTATATATTTAGCAAAGACACATCACTTTCAGATGACACACTAGCAGCATGGCTGTATGGATGGTTGGTCCACCACTTTGGTCCAGACTGAAATGTTTCAACAAATATTGTATGGATTGCCATGACATTGTGTACAGACATTCATAGTGCCCAGAGGATGAATTCTAATGTCTTTGGTGATCTCCTGACTTTTCCTCTAGCGCTACCATGAGGGTTTTGTTAAATGAATCAACAATTTCTGAATGGATTGCAATCTCTTTGTGAAACTTGGTACAGACATTAATGTCCTCCTCAGGATGAATTGCGATAACTTGGATCTCGTTCTCTTTCGTCATCCATCATCACAATTTTAATTTGTCTAATACTTTGGTTTATGACAAATACCTGCAAAAACTCCCACCGACATTTCCACCAACCTCATCTGTACTTATATTTAGTGCTAATTAGAACATGTTAGCATGCTAATATGCAGACCAAACATGGCAAGTTAGCATCAGCATGTTAGCTTTGGCTTTGTGAGCGTTTTAGCATACGGACATTAGCATTTAGCTCAAAGCACCACTGTATTAAAGAGCAGCTTCACAGAGCTCCCAGAGCATGGCTTTAGACTCTAAGGAGGACTTTAATATAAAATTTTAATATCTAATACCTACTATCTGATTTTATCATCATATTTGGCCTATAGGTTGTATGATTTTGATTCTTGTCAAATTTCAAAATTTCAGTTTTTAGCCATCAAACTTCCACAGTCCACTTAAGACTTAGGCAAATTCAACAAAAGCATTTTTATGTAATGGGCCGAGAGCCTTTGAATAGATTTGTATGTTTTGTTTTTTTCCACTGAACTTGTGCACTCTTTACCTGGGGCCTTTAGGGACAGACTGTTTAATTGAAGGAATGGAAAGGCTCTTTGTGTATCAAGTGTCAGAAGAGGACAAGTCCTCTTCTGTAGCTTACAGGAGGAGGCAGCTACGAGTCGT